CGTTAACCTATGCCGCCATCTTGGTTTCTCCACATTCCTCTTCTGATTGCAGAGTTATCTCTTCCGCTATTTGACACCTCCCCTTAGCTATCCCTAGAGTTTTTCTTTCTCAAAAATGTCCTATAAATACATTTATCATACAGTGCCTACACATTTACCCAAGAGAAACGAAGATGTTTCACAGAAAGACTTGTAGTGTTCAGAGCAGCTTCGTTTATAATAACCAAAGAATTGGGAATAACACAAATGTCCATCACCTGTGAATTGATGAAAATAAATTGTGGTACAGCCCTACAGTATCCACACTGTCTGCAGCCTTCTGAGCCTGGCCGCTCCCGAAGTGTCATGCTGTGAGATTCATCCCCATTGCGTTCCTTTCTGTTGTTGATTAGTACTGTGTGGATGTACTGCAGGTGAGCTCTTCACCCGTGGGAGCATGCTTGGGTTGTTTCTAGTTTGGGGGTTTTGTGAATAAAGGTGCTGTAAACATTTGTGCACAGGCTTTTGTGGGGTCTTATGTCTTCATTTCTCTTCTGTAAACACGTGGGTGTGGATCGCTGGGTTATATGATAAACGTGATTGGCTTTACTAGACACTATCAGACTATTTCCTAAGTGACTGTCCTATTTTGCGTTTCCAGCAGTGTCTGAGGGTTCCAGACACTTGCGTCCTTGCTCAGCACTTAGTACTGTCAGTTTCATTTGCTTGATGTGTCATTTATGTGGGGGTTTTGTGTGTGTGCGTGTGTGTGTGTGTGTGTGTGTGTGTGTGTGTGTTTTGTGAATCCTAACTAGGGATATTTTTCCATTGATTTTTTTTTTCCATTGATTTTTAGAGAGTGGAAGGGAGGGAGAGAGACAGAAACATCGATGTGAGAGAGACACATTGTGGTTTTACTTTGCATTTTCCTAACGACTAATGATGTGATCATCTTTTCATGTATTTATTTGCTATCCATACATCTATTTTGATGGAGTGTCTATTGAAATGATTTGTCCTTTGTTTATTGAGTTATTTGTTTTCTTACTGAGTAGTGAGCTTTTACATAGTCTGCATACCAGTCCCTTATCAGATGTGGGTTTTGCGAGAGTGTTCTTTCAGTCTGTGTCTTGACTTTCCGTTTTCCTAACAATGTCTTGTGCAGAGATGTTTTTAAATCATCCAGGTCATTTATTTGTATTGTCTCCACTTACTGGTCTTTGATTTTTTCCACTAATATAGTTTTTGGCACATAAATCTTGTACGTCTTCTATTAGATTTATCCCTATTTCTTTTTCTCTTTTTTCTTTTTGGTGCTATGCAGCTTTTTGAAACTGCATAGTAGGTGGTGTGTTTTAAACTTCAATAACTTCAATTTCTAGATATTCGTTGTGGTATATAGAAATGCAGTTGCTTCTGTTACCCACACGTCCTATGCCCTACAAGCTTGTTAAACTCACTCACTAGTTCTAGTAGCTTTTTGTAGATTTTCTATGTTGACAGTTTTGTCGTCTGTGAGTAGGGACAGGGGTATCTGACTTCCCAATCTGCATGCCTCTTTCCTGGCCTGATGGCAGTCACTCGGGCCCCCAGTAGAGTTGAGTCCCTGCAAGCAGACATCCTGAGTTGCTCCTCATCTTAAGAGCGTTCAGTCCCGCTCTCATACGTGTGGTGTTAGCTGTGGGTGTTTCATAGATGAACAGGAAGTGCCCTCTGTTCCTGGCTTGCTGCATTTTATCATGAATGGATAGTAAATTGTGTTGAATGTGGCTGTTGTAATGGCTGTCGCCCTGAGCTCAGGAGCCTCACGCTGTGCTAGAGGAACTTGGAGGGCTTTCCTTTGTGCTGCAGCTCAGAGCCCTCTGTCCTGCCTGCCAAGCCTACTGCGCACTCCCTTGATGGGGAAAGGAGGCGGGTCTGGAGAACAGGACGCTGTCTCTTCCTCCTGGACCATGCAGGGTTTGGGCCCAGGGTGGGTTGCGTTGCTCCGAGAGGCTCGGGCTGCACTGTGGGTAGGCAGGTCCAGACCACATCTGTCACCAGGGGGCCACCCCGCTCCCCACAGTGGGTTCTGTTCTTGGGAGTCCCTGCTGTGTCTCACTGCCTACAGCAGTGCCGGGCACAAGGTGGGCCCCCAGTAAACGTGTTGCCTGACAGGGACACCCCCCACTGACAGCTTTCTGTCTGTGGGTCTGTCAGCCCCTGACATCCCTGCCCTATGCCCAGACTGTGCTTACCGACATTTGAGCACTTTTCCTTTGATAACAACACTAGTGGCCTGGTGCATGGATTCGTGCACACTGAAAAGCAGTTAATTAGAAGAAATGTTTTAATATCGCTACTCGCCCTTTCTCTATAATAGAAGTGTCAACCAAATTCACGATCAACAATAACAGATCGAAACACACATGTGCGATTGGCGCCAGCGAGAGCTTTATATGTATCGTGCATGTGCTAATCAACTTAGCCTTTCATAGATATAGAATAAACTTGCTTAATTAGACCTGCTTTCTGATGTAGCTAAACTTTTTCCAGCTCAGTGAAGCACCCCAACTTCTCTTTCAGATAATTGTCAGCAACACAGCAATAAATATCAACACGAAGCCAATTATTATTGTAGATCATGCAGGGAGAACAAAGGGTAAAATATGTAACTGCAGCAGTGTTTGACTATATTCTGCACAGTGAGAAAACCTGAAGTCATTTTCAAGGTCCACTAGTTCTTACTTCTTTTTAGTTGGGTCCAGTTTCTAAACTTTCTAAATCTCTGTTTTCCGGTTAATGAAAAGAAACTAGGATTCCACTGAGTCTCCTATCTACCTACTCCAGGACTTCTATGAGGATCAAATGAGATGAGGCACGGAAAATGCTTCACAGGCATTTGGTTACAGTGTAAAATGTTTGCACCTGGCTATAAAACAAGTTGTGTTCCTGGGTTAAAGAAACTCCAATGAGGCTAGTTGCTAGGGAAAGGAAGCCGGATGTTACTACGTGACATCACTACCTGGTGCCCACAGTAACCGTTCCCAGGCTGGGCTGGGCTGGGCCGTGGGCCACATTTTGCGCCATGGGGTCTCGGCAGTGTTGGCTGTGATTTGGTGGCTGTCACTCCAGAGTGGTGGTGGGGCCTGTGTCCCACTGGGGGGAAGCCGAGTGTTGCTTGTCAGCACCAGGTCCACAGTGCTGTTTCTTTGTAAATGGCCAGTGCACGTCATGGCAGCTCCTGCGCTGAGTGTCTGCCCCCTGGTGGTCAGTGTGCATCATAGTGACCCGTCGAACGGTTGGAGGGACACTTAGCATATTGGCCTTTTATATATATAGACTAGAGGCCTGGTGCATGAAAATTCATGCACTTGCGGGGGGGGGGGGGGTCCTTCAGCCCTGCCTGCGCTCTCTTGCAATCCGGGAGCCCTCAGGGATGTCCCACTGATGGCTCCCCAGGGGAAGTGGCCTAAGCCGCAGTCTGGCCTCCCTCTGTGGGAGGTTACCAGCGGGCCACCCTCTGTGGGAGGTTACCAGCGGGCCAATCGCCGCCATCACCAGTGGCCTCCCTCTGCAGGAGGCGACCGGCAGGGCAATCGGGGGATGAGCAGCTGGCCCCGCCCCCAATCGCCCCTACGCCGCTGCTGGTCACCGCCGGGGTCCTTGCTGGCCCCCGATCGCCATCCCCTCCCTCTGCCACTGGCACCCATCTTGGCTGGCCTGGTGCTGCCTGCTCGCTGGCCATGCCCCCCACTGATCAGTCGTTCCACCATTCGGTTGATTTGCATATTAGCCTTTTATTGTATAGGATGTGTTGTTTCACATTTGTTGAGAAGGCTTCACTTTTGAAGAATGTGCTCAGAAGGAGCCACCCATCCCTCCCCTGTGACCTCACTGCCGCCTTCCTCCCCTCATGGGCCTGCAGGCTTTTCCCGGCCAACACACATGCAGTTCCTTCAGCCCAAAGGCCTGCCTGGCCCCGTCCTCCCCTCCGCATCTCATCCTCTCTATAGCAGCCGGCTTCTTTCCCCGCCTGCCCCGACCGCTGCGGCCGCTGCCTTCCCGACCTGTGCCTCCGAAGTAGAATGTTCTCTTTCCCACCCACCTCCCAGACCTGGGACCCCTACTCATGCCCCAGGACGGACCCCTAACATCACCTCAGGTGGGACACCTGCCCTGCCTGCAGGCCCACAGAGCTCCTGCCTCCACTGGCTTTCTTGTGTGAATGGTATTTGTTTCCTCATGTGCCTCTCCCACTAGAGAGAGGCAGGGACAGCCATCTGGCTCCTCTCGCTCTGCAGGGGCTGAAAGGCTGGGCCTGGCCCTGGCTCCCCCTCCAGTCCTCACGCTGGCCTCTCCCTTCCCCAGGCTGAACTGATGAGCAGCCTCATCGAGTACTGCATCGAGCTGAGCCAGGCCTTGGAGCCCACTGCCCCCCAGGAGGGCGCCTCCGGTCCCTCCTCCGCCCCCGGCTCCTTGCCACCTCCCACTCAGCGCCCCCAGCTACGCAGACAGGGCAGCGTGGTGTGCAGCCGGATCCAGCACCTCTCCACCATCGACTATGTGGAGGAGGGTGAGTGACCTCTTCGTGGTACAAGTATGCAGGCCCCGGGGAGCTCGAGGGGAGGGAGGGCCGGGAGCCTCTGGCTGAGAGGAGGGCTGGGTGTGAGCGTCACATCTGAGCTCTGTGATCCGAACAGAGGCCTCTGGGGTCCTGGCGGTAAGAGTCCTGCTCTGCCCCTTCTCAGTGCTGCGTCCACAGACGTGTTCACACAGGACTGTCCAGACGTGAAGACTAGAAACTCCCAGTGTCTGCAGTGGACAGGGCACTTGTGGAAGGACTGGTGAAGTCTGCATTGCCACTCGCAGATGAGGTCGTCGTTTCTGCGCCCACACCTGGCGCACGGGCACTGGGAGTTCCTAGTCTTTCACATCTGGGAGGTGGTAAGTGTTATTGTCCAGGGAGAGATGCGTGTGGGTTGCTGTTTGAATTCTAGTGAAGTTGGACCATTTTTATGTGCTTGATCATTTATGTTTTCTTTATGAATTACTGTTCACCTATGTTGCCTGTTTTCCCTTTTTTTTTTGCTTGATTTTTAAAAATTAACATCTTCCATTAACATGGCATATATATTGTAATTGATTAACCAATATTGATATTGTAGTTTGTTTTTATTGATTTCAGAGAGGCAGGGAGAGGGGGAGAGAGATAGAAACATCAGTGATGAGAGAGAATCATTGATTGGCTGCCTCCTGCACACGCCACACTGGGGATCAAGCCTGCGACCCAGGCATGTGCCCTTAACTGGAATCGAACCCAGATCTTTTAGTCCAGTCCGCAGGCCGATGCTCTATCCACTGAGCCAAACCAGCCAGGGCTGATTGTATTATTAACTGAAGTCCTTAGTGTAGCCTCATGTCTTTTATTTCATGAACCATCTGGACCCCACACTGCGTTCAGGTGTCAAGTGTATTAGGCTCCTCTTGGCTGTGACCGTTTCTGACTCCTTTTGATGACCTTGGCAGCTGTGGGGGGGGGGGTGGTCAGGGACATTGGAGGATCCCCTTCACTGGAGTTTGATGTTTTTCTCAGAATTAGGCTGGGCTTACAGCTTAGGGGGAGGAAGATCACAGAGGTGGAGTGCCTACCGCATTTCTACCGCTTCCTATCACAGGTTCCATAGCAACATGACTTATGGCTGTTGGTGTTGACCTTGGCCACCTGCTTGAAATTGTGAACTTGTAAGAGTTCTTTTGCCTCGTTGAGGCTCACCTTCAGCCATCCCGCAGGTTGCAGGTGCTTGGTTTCTTCGGTCTGTTCTTGACTAGGTTTTAGCAAAAGCTTCTCAGGTACCACGGCTGGCCCCGCATCCAACTCAAACACTGATTTGCCTCTGATTGGGGGCTGGTGACACGTCCACCCACCCATCCTGTCAGGTGGAAGAGTGGGGCTGGGGGAGTGAGGCCAGAAAGTTGGCAGATGTGAAAGTTGGCAGATGTGAAGCCCAAACCAGGCTTCCTGGGGGCTGGGCCCTCCCCGGGAAGCCCTCTCCGCAGTACGGTCCTCACTCCCCGGTCCTCACTCCCCGACAGGCGAGCAGATCAAGCCGGTGAAACCGAAGCGCACCACGTCCTTCTTCAGCCGGCAGCTCTCCCTGGGCCAGGGGAGCTACACCGTGGTGCAGCCCAGCGAGCGCCTGGAGCAGAGCTGAGGCCGGGGTGCCAGTGCCGGTAGGAGGAGGGCACAGGAGGGCAGGGCCAGGAGTGGCCCTCGAGTTGGGAAGAAGGCTACCTCGAAGCATGGAGCAGGGACTTCTGTGCTTGGGGTGGTGCCTGGGCTGTGCCCAGCTGGCTCAGGGATCCCCACGGTCCTCTCCAGCCTGCCGTTCTACACTGTGGGCCCCGCTGCCATCTCAGGACCATCTGATCAGCCCCAGTCTCCCCCTTTCACCCAGAGACTCGCCTGTGTGCCCCTCTCAAGATGGACAGTGTCCCCTGCTCTGAAGCCCCCACTGGCGGCTCCCATGACAGGAGGTCGAGGAATAGGGCTTGGGACCTGCAGGTCCAGTGTGTGACTTTGGCCTATTCCCTGGACTTTGGTGACCACATCCCCGCATTTCATCGGTCGGCATTCCACGCATGCTGCCAGGCGGGCCGTCCCTGTCGGGGTGGGCCGGGACCTCCAGAGCTGAACCATGGCAGGTGGCAGGAAGGGGAGGAAAGGCCCGCACTCATGCCCTCCCTGGCTGGATGGAACAAGGGAGCTGGGCAGGGCCCAGCTCAGCAGGGCCACCCTGTGCCGTTCACTCAGGCCTCTCTTGTGGGCAGGAAAGTGCCTCTTTGCTAGCTCTGGTGTTGTCACTGCTGCAGGGGCTGTCCGGGACCAGCAGGCCCACCGACCCCCACGCCCACCCCCACTGGAGAAGCTCCCAATCCCCCGGGGCTTCAGGTTTGTTTTGGTTTTTACTCGTCTGCTTTGGTTCCTTGAAGCCTGTAAACTCTGAGGCAACTCAAGAGAACCCCACACCCTCAGAGCCCGGCTCCCCCTCAGAGGTGACCATCGGGCCTGGCCCTGGGGACCGGCCATACGGGAAGTCCCACCCTAGCAGCCGGTCTCTTTCTTGGGAACAAATGGCCAAGGTGAATGTGGCGCTGGGCACGGCCAGCCCAGGAGCTCCTCCCCGGCCCTGGGCTCCTCTGTGTGGGGCCTGGCTCAGCTTCCTGGGACTTTGCGCAGGGAAGAGGCACCTGCTCAGCCAGCACAGGGCTCGCGTTGTCTCCCCTTCCTGGCGGGACGTGGGCGAGGAAATGCCAACCGCCTGTCTCCAGATGCCAGAGCCACCTCCTCCCTTGATGACGTTCGACACTCCAGGTGTGCGAGGCGGGCTTGCCTCGGGCAGCAGGGGCTTCCTTATTTGTCATAATGAATAGGTGCCCCAGCCTGGAGTCACTCACCTCCCCGCTGCCCGCCTCTGGCTCCCAGCCCTCTGGCCCTCTAGTCCCACACTGTTTTGGTGCCAAGTGAATTCTTATCTGATGGGCCCAGGGGGCGTGTGGGTGTGACGGGCGTGTGTGTACACAAATTACTTGTTTTTACTCCTGTCTTTCTCCTGTTTTCTAAGCATCCACTGTGTCTTAACCTTTTCTGCCTGTCCTTTGGACAAAGCCTTTTACTAAATGTCCTTTGAATATTCTGATTGTTTTGTACCATGTGACTTATTAATAATAAAATCCGTTTCCAGCAGCTTTGGTGTTTATGATGTGAGTAATGCGAGTGTGCGATTACAGCCTGGGAGCTGATCACAGCTGCGTGTTCGCTTTTTATTAACTATGCGCCAAGGGATGCAGCCCTCGGGCTCCCTGCTGCACCCACGGAGCAGCCAGAGTGCAGTTTTCCAATCTTGGTGGTTGGTCAGAGTAAGAAGGTCCAAGAGAGGTTTGGGGTTCGTGGTAGGAACCAAGGCAGGAGCTCTGCGGGGAGGCAGGGAAACAAGGAGTGACAGAGGCTGCTGGGCCTTTGTCCCTGTCCTGTGGCCCTGAGCCACCTGTCACCAGGTGCCTCCTCACACCCGGGGATGGGGCCCAGGGCAGTGTGTCGGGAGATGGCAGAGCACCCAGGAGGTTTGGGCGATTCTCAACCTTCCCTGAGGGCTCCCCATGCCCAGGGCCAGGGCAGGGCAGTTTGTTTCCCACAGATCCTGTTGGGCAAGGGCGGCGTCAGGCCGGCCCTCTGGAGCGCTGTGGACCCCGCAGGAAGCTGCGCAACAGGATAACCTGGCCTTGTTCCTGCGGGTGAGCATCATCTGGAGGTTGGGGAAGTCCTGTGTCCAGAAAGCTGGGAAGAGAACGGGACTCATCTGAGAGGCCGCACCTGCCGATGGCACAGACACCCCATCCTGGTGGTTCAAGGAGCACCATCAACCTGGGGCCTGGCAGGCCTGGAGCCCTTCCTCTACCCAGGCCCTCTGCCCTCTCCACTAGGTTAATTTCCTGTGGCTGCTGTAACCAGTGACCACAACCTTGGTGGCTCAAAACAGCACACTCACTGTCTCAGTCCTGGAGGTCAGAAGTCTGAAATGAACTCACTGGCTGAGATGAGGGTGTGGGCAGGGCTGCATTCCATGCTCTAGGCAAGAACCTGTTTACTGTTCCAGCTTCCAGAGGCCGCCTGTGCTCCTTGGCTCGTGGCCCCTCCCTCCATCTTCAAGCCGGGGAAGGAGACGGGGGTCCTCAGCCGGCACTCTGACTGTCCCTCCTCACACCTCTTTCTCCGACTCCCCTCTGCCTTCCACGTCCAGGGTTAAGGACCCTTGTGATTATTACTACACGGGGCCAAGGTGGAGAGTCCACATCTCCCTACAGTTAGCCAATTAGCTACTTAATACCTCTTTGCTGGGAAACTTACAGCCTGGGAGCTGATCGCAGCTGTGTGTTGGCTTTTTATTAACTACTAGTGGCCCGGTGCACAGATTCGTGCACATTGAAAGGAAATTAATTAGAAGAAATACTTTAATATCGCTATTTGCCCTTTCTCTATAAAGAAGTGTCAACCAAATTCATGATCGACAATGACAGATCGAAACACACGTGTGCCATTGGCGCTAGCAAGAGCTTTATATGTATCGTGCATGTGCTAATCAACTTAGCCTTTCATAGATATAGAATAAACTTGCTTAATTAGACCTGCTTTCTGATGTAGCTAAACTTTTTCCAGCTCAGTGAAGCACCCCAACTTCTCTTTCAGGTAATTGTCAGCAACACAGCAGTAAATATCAACACGAAGCAGATTATTATTGTAGATCATGCAGGGAGAACAAAGGGTAAAATATGTAACTGCAGCAGTGTTTGACTATATTCTGCACAGTGAGAAAACCTGAAGTTATTTTCAAGGTCCACCAGTTCTTACTTCTTTTCAGTCGGGTCAAGTTTCTAAACTTTGTAAATCTCTGTTTTCCGGCTAAAGAAGAGAAAATAGAATTCCACTGAGTCTCCTATCTACCTCCTCCAGGACTTCTGTGAGGATCACATGAGATGAGGCACGGAAAACGCTTCACAGACATTTGGTTACAGTGTGAAATGTTTGCACCTGGCTATAAAGCAAGTCCTGTTCCTGGGCTGAAGAAACTGCAAGGAGGCTAGTGGTCGCTAGGGAGAGGAAGCCGGGCGTTGCTATGTGACAGCATTACCCGGATGGACGCTTAGCATATTAGCCTTTTATATGAGAGAAGATGCGGCAAGGAATGCAGCCCTCGGGCTTGGGCTCCCGTACTGAATGCCACGGAGCAGCCAGAGTGAGGTTTTCCGATCTTGACGGATGGTCAGGGTAAGAAGGCCCAAGAGGGTCTTTAATGCCTCTTTGCCTGTAAATTCTGATTCACAGGCTCCAGGGATTAGACACAGGATCTTGGGAGCCTTGCTTCTGCCTACCACACGCCCGCTTTCACTGCGGCCCTCCCTGCTTTGTGCGCATTCACCTCCTCTCTGCCCATCTCTGGCCAGGCATCCTCGGTCCTCGCACCCCCTGCGCTGGTGGCCAGGTGAGCTGAGTGGCTGCGTGTCTGTGTGAAGGCTCAGGCTGACGGGGACGCCCTCCCAGCACCATGGAGGAGCTCCTGCTCCAGACACCCTCTCTGACTGTGGCTCACTCTGCCCAGGCCTCCTCCCTGGACCACAGCCCAGTCTGCACTGATACCCAGCTGTTTTTTGGGCTTAAGTTCAGAAAGTGTGTCTGCACGCGCGCATGCACGCACACACACGCACCCCATTCCAGTCCTCAGCGGGCTCCTCCACAGAAGGGCTTTGCGCTCTGTGTGCCTCCCAGCACCACAGGGGAGAGGCCAGGACACTGCCCGCCCGCCCGGAGCACCTCACTGCATCCTCCTCTCCTGCCCCCCATCCCCGTTCTAGGTTCAGTTCCGCCTTCACTGCTCTGCTTGCATCTGCCCATGGCCACATGCTCCAGGCTCAGCTGGAGAGACCAGCTGACCCCTAGGAACCACCCAGTGTGGCCTGTAGAGGGAGCCAGCAGGTAGGGGGAGAGGTTGGGTGCTGGGGGAGGCCTCTCAGTTTGTGATCCCAGTTCCAGGCACCCTGAGGGGCCAAAGGGAGCGGGAGTCCAACTGGGAGGGGTCCCCCGGGAGTCACTTCCTAGTCTCTGAAGCGCTCTGCCTGCTCTCACACTGTGTGCTGCCTGCTCTCACACTGTGTGCTGCCTGCTCTCACACTGTGTGCTGCCTGCACTAACACTGTGTTGGCCTGCACCTCACACTGGTGCTTGCCTGCTCTCACACTGTGTGCTGCCTGCTCTCCACCACTGTGTGCTGCCTGCTCTCACCACTTTGTGCTGCCTGAACTCACACTGTGTGCTGCCGGCTCTCACCACTGTGTGCTGCCTGCACTCACACTGTGGCTGCCTGCACTCACACTGTGTGCTGCCCTGCACTCACACTGTTGTGCTGCTGCTCTCACACTGTGTGCTGCCTGCTCTCACACTGTGTGCTGCCTGCACTCACACTGGGCTGCCCTGCTCTCACACGTGTGCTGCCTGGCACTCACACTGTGTGCTGCCTGCACCACACTGTGTGCTGCCCTGCACTCACAGCTGCCCTGCTCTACACTTGTGCTGCCCTGCACTCACCACTGTGTGCTGACTTGCTCTCACCACTGTGTGCTGCCTTGCTACTCCACCACTGTGTGCTGCCTGCACTCTACACTGTTGCTGCCTGCTCTCACACTGTGTGCTGCCTGCACTCACACTGTGTGCTGCCTGCTCTCACACTGTGTGCTGCCTGCACTCACACTGTGTGCTGCCTGATCTCACACTGTGTGCTGCCTGCTCTCACACTGTGTGCTGCCTGCACTCACACTGTGTGCTGCCTGCTCTCACACTGTGTGCTGCCTGCTCTCCCCCTGTGTGCTGCCTGCACTCACACTGTGTGCTGCCTGCTCTCACACTGTGTGCTGCCTGCTCTCACACTGTGTGCTGCCTGCTCTCACACTGTGTGCTGCCTGCACTCACACTGTGTGCTGCCTGCTCTCACACTGTGTGCTGCCTGCACTCACACTGTGTGCTGCCTGCTCTCACACTGTGTGCTGCCTGCTCTCACACTGTGTGCTGCCTGCACTCACACTGTGTGACTGCCTGCTCTCACACTGTGTGCTGCCTGCTCTCACACTGTGTGCTGCCTGCACTGTGGGCCCGAGGTTGAGCCCTGGTTTATGCATCCCCACGAGGCGGCACCAGCTGAAACCCAGGCTCCGAGCAGGTGTTTGGCAACGTGAACTCTAGGACGCCCACCTGCCCCTGTCCCCAGCCCTCGGCACACAGACCGAGTCACCTGCAATGGGAGGACCAGCCTCAGGGCCCACCCCTTTGCAGGAGCCCCTGCCCAGGCCCTGGAAGGACTTGGCACTGTGTTCAATGGTTTTTGTAGAATTTGCAAAAGTAGGATTTAAAAGTTACTTTTTCTTACAGGGGACCCTACAATTATTGAAGTCCTGGGTTAGTCCTCGCCCACAACATACTGGCTCCACTTGTTTCTAGAACACACCTGCAATCTTTCACCTCTGGCATCCTCCACCGCCTCCCCACCTTGGCTCCCCAGCATAGCACCTGTCCACATTCCCTTCACCCTTCGCAAGAACGGCTGTCCCCTGGGAAGAGACTGGTCTCTTCTGCAACACACCTTCTCTCCTGGAGGGCCAGGACCTGCTCATTGTTCAGTTTTCCTCTCCTCTGCTGTGTAGCCTTAAGCAAGTTCTGCCACTTGCCTGGCTTCCATTTCCTCTTCTCTAAAATGAGGATGGTCGCCCCTCCGGGCCGGTGTGGCTCAGTGGTTGAGCATCAGTCTATGAACCAGGAGGTCACAGGTCGATTCCCATTCAGGGCACATGCCTGGGTTGTAGGCTCCATCCCAGTGGGGGGCGGGTCCTGCAGGAGGCAGCAGATTAATTATTCTCATCACTGATGTTTCTATCTCCCCCTTCCTCTCTGAAATCAATAAAAATACATTTTAAAAAATACATAAATACGTAAATAAAATGGGGATGCCTGTCTAATCTGGCCACACCCCAGGGGCAGAGCACCATGTTTGCACACATCTGTAACGCCTTTGCAGAGGCGGGAGGCGGTTGGCAGGTGCTCCTGACTGGAATCAAACGTCAGCCCTCTGAGCCCCGGTTTCGTCATCTGTGAAGTGGGGACATTGAGTGACAGATGTAAAAGCATCTCTGGCCTGCAATGGCTGCATCTGTCTGTGGTTACGTCAGGTTCATTCATTCACTCATCCCACTTGATGGTCCCCAGGTCATTTCATGCCCCCTTTGTTCCTGCCTGCACGTTTCCTGGGGCTGCCTCAACACATACTATACACGAGGGCGGGCGCTTAAACAACAAATGTATTGTCTCAGTTCAGGAGGCTAGAAGCCTGCAAGGTGTAGGCAGCCGCAAGCTCGCTCTGAGGCTGTAGGTGTACGGGGTCCCTCCTGCCTCTCTCAGCCTCTGGGGTTCTGCGGGCAGTCTATGGTGCTCGTCATCACATGCCCCCCCCCCCCCGCCACCTGTGTGTGTCTGTCCTTACAGGGCCTTCCTCGTAAGGACCCCGACTACACCTGCAATGATCCTATTCCCAGCTAAGGTCACATTCCGAGGCACTGAGGGTTAGGGCTTCAACATAGCTTTACCAGGGGACACACAATTCAACCCATAACACCATCCTGATGGTTTATTATTTTGGTCTTGGGGCTTTTAAAAAATATCAACTGGCAGCTGGTAGCTCAATTGGTTGGAGCATCGTCCCATATACCACAAGGTTGCAGGTTCAATTCTCTGTTAGGACACATACCTAGGTTGTGAGTTCAATACCTGGTTGGGACTTGTGTGGGAGGCAACCAATCAATGTTTCTCTCTCACATCGATGTTTCTGTCTCTCCCACTTCCCTCTCCCTCTCTCTCTAAAATCAATAATAATAAAACATATCTTCAGGTGAGGATTAAAAAGAAATCTTTAAAAAAGTAAGTACATGCAAAATGCATCTAGGGTTGTTTTAAAATATCAGCTGCCTTGTTGCATGGAGAAGTAGGCGTAGTTACCCCCACCAGCCTGGCAGCTCTGCCTGGCTCAGCCAGCACCTGGCTCTGGAGGCCCCTAGAGATTGCCGATGGGGGTCAGTGCAGGGGGACAGGGTCTTCGTGGCTCCCAGACACCCCTTAACTCCTTAGGTAACAGGTCACTGAACAATCAACACAGGCAATCCCACTGTCGTCTGAGGCTGGGGCGTTTCTGGATCATTCTCCACCACTGACATCACCACCTGCAGCACCTGGGAGCCGCCTGGCACTTGTTCCCTGTCCAAACCAGCCCCAAGTTTCAGAGAAGGCGGGCAGATTACCCAGCCTCAGCCAGGACAGGTGGCAGGGCAGGCCGGGTCACGACTTCAGTTTTTAAAAAGGTTGGTGCCCCGCCCTAGCGGTTTGGCTCAGTGGATAGAGTGTCAGCCTGTGGACTGAAGGGTCCCAGGTTCGATTCTGATCAAGAGCACATGTCTGGGTTGCGGGCTTGATCCCCAATAGGGGGCGTGCAGAAGGCAGCCAATCAGTGATTCTCATCATTGATGTTTCTTTCTCTCTCTCCCTCTCCTGTCTTCTCTGAAATCAATAAATATATGTTTTTAAAAATTAATAACAATAATAAAAGTCTGGTGCCCCATGGCTGGCTGCTTTTGGTGCCCTGACCCAGCCGCACCGGGTCGGGTTGCGGGGCTGGCCCCGAGGGTCGGCCACAGTCCTTGCCTGCAGGTTGCTGCTCCCACTTCGGCCAGCAGGGGGAAGCTGAGCCCGTCCTTTCCTCCAGTTCAGCTGCAGAGGCTGCGAGATGGCACCGCCCACACGCCCTACGCAGCTGGAAAACCAAGGGGCAGAATCCGGGGGCTTGGGTCTGGCTGGGCTTGCCCACATTCTTGCTGAGCAGGCGCCCTGGCGCCACCACCTTCCTCCCATCCATGATGGGGGAGTCCCTGACCCCTGACCTCCTTAAAGGGGGGTTTTTAGGTTCCTCATTTGGGGATGGTACTCACATTATTCAAAGATCAGGATCCATGTCCTGAAAATAGATTCTGCTTTGGGATTTTTAAAATTTTCCTGTGAAATTTTCCTATTTAAAACCAGGGTTATTTGGGGGAGTCCAGGAGGTGGGTGGGCACACCCTGAGGCTACTCATCTCCCTCCTGCTTCGCCCTGTGCCCACAGGAGCTGACTGCCCCAGGTCCCTCCCCTTCCCAGCTGTCCAGGCCCATCTCTCAGCGCCTCCCTCCCCCACCCATCCTGAGCCCTCCAGCTATTTTAAACTACTTGTCACAAGCGGTTCCCCGCTCTGCCCTAGGACTTCTGTGTCTCCTGCCCACTTGACCTTGGCATTTGGTGGAGGGGGTGGTGGTGACTGTTGACTTTCTGGGCCAGTGAGAGCACAGGGCTCCCTCCTTGTCAAGGTCAGCAGCCTCAGGGGCCGCTGGAACCTTTCAGACGGTTTCCCTCTCCCTGTGAACGCCCTGGCACCACGCACACCTCACTCACCAATGCCCCTCAGGTGGGCCCAGGGGATCCGAGCAGAACCTCCTGCCCAGGTTCAAGGACAGTCTGAGCCAAGGCTTGGGGAGCCGGGTTCCTCTCCACAGCCTTCCCTCTGCTGGAGGCTGGGGAGCAAGGACACAGGTGCTTGGCTTGGGGGAGAGGGGGGTCTGGTGAGCACCTAGGAGCAGGGCTGCAGGACACAGGGAAGCGACCGGGAGCCAGTGGAGGAGCCGGCAGGAGAAGGGCAGAGCTGGCCCCAGGCAGGAGGCCAGCTTGGGCAGGACTCAGGGAAGCTGAGGGAGGAGGGTCAGGGTGGCTGGGGCACTGAAGGCCGATGCACAGGAGTTGGGGAGTGTTTGTGGCAGGGAATCCTGGAGATCTGGGTGCAGGGGACTGACACCATCAAATTTCCTAGAGGCCTGGCCCTAGGAGGGGAGTGGACCCCAATTGGATCTGCCCCGGCAGTGGCCAGGAAAGGCCACCAGGGACCCTGAGCCCACAGGCCCTGTGGCCCCCAGGGGGGACATGGGTCAAATGTGTGAGAAGTCCTCTCCTCACTTAGGATGCCCTCCCAGCCTCCCCTGCCCCTTGTTGGCCCACGTGGGACAAGAAAACGGAAGCGTGGCATGCAGGGGTCGGCTACTCCTCGGCCTAAGAAGCCAGGGTCTGGGGAGGTCAGCCCCCCACACCCTCTCCCTCAAGCTTCTACCGGCTTTGGTTCCCTTGCCCACCCCAGGCCTTCCTGTGAGCTCCTGGCCCGGCCCACCGGGAGCAGCCCACCCTGTCTCCTTGGCTGCTGACCTGGGAGCCCAGTGCTGGGCAGGCCCCCGGGTCCGGCCCGTCGTGGTGTTTGTGGGGCTGATGCTCCCATCAGCCCACAAATACCACAGATGCTCACAGAGACCCTCACAGAGGGCAGAGTGGCCTTGACAAAACAGACTGTTTGCTCAACACGTTTACCAGGGTCCACTTTGTGCCGGGAACACACCAGGGCCTTCGGGGTGCCGAGATCCAGGAGGACAAAGCACGCACAGAACCCTTCCCGAAGGAGCCCAGGTCCGGTGGGTGGGGAGCCCTGGAAGGTGACCTTGGGCCGGAAGGTGACCTCGGGCCGAGGCCTGGGGGAGCTGAGGGAGAGCTGGGCCAGCCCCCGCCGCCCCCCCCCCCCACACACACACACTCCCCAGGGAAGAGCCTCCAGGCAGAACAGCACTCAGGATTGGGAAATGCGAATGAGGAAGGAAAGCAGGGCTGTGAGGGGTCGAGGGTGTGCTCAGGGTCATGCTGCTGGTGGGGGGGGGGGGGAGCAACTGAGCCCAGCTCCCGGTCGGGCAGGGGAGGCGGCTGGGGGCTGGCGTGGGTGCAGGTTGCTGTGCTGCATGGGCTGCTGGCACGCACGCAGGCAGGAAGGGCTTGGCGGGCAGCCAGCACGGGTGACTGTGCAGTTTCCTCACTCAGGGCCGGAGCCACGGAGGGGCCTCCTGGTTCACAGGGCCGCACAGCTCAGAGGCGGCCCCGCTGAGGGTCCCTGTGAGGAGACGGCCCAGGTGCCCAAGGCCACAGCACTGGGACTGGACCCGTGGGGGACCGGGCAGAGTTCTGGCATACGGAGTGTCGGCTGCAACACTGTCCTTGCCCTGCCCTTGGTGTGACGCGGAAGTACCACCCTCCCCACCCTCTTCTCTCCTTGTCCGGGCTGCCTGGGAAATCTGGGTCCTTCCCTGGGCTGGTGTGTGTTTGGAGACAACAGAGCTGAGCTGACTGCAGAACACGATGGGGAGGGGAGGCGGCCATGGCCTTGAGCAAGGACGGAGCCTGAGTGCTGACCCTGAAATCTGGGCGTTGCCCAAGGGCCCCTCCGGGTTCTTCCCCTTCCAGCCCTGAGCCCCTGAGTGGGCTGCCAGGAAGGTGCGGCCTTTGTCCCGAAAGGGTAGGGCGGGCCCACCTCCACCCAACCCCACCCAGCACCCAAGTCCTGTTTACTGCGGTTTCCTGGAACAGCTTGTTTTGATCTAGAGAAATCTGCTGACACACTCGCGCCCTGCCCTTCCCCTCCCCCTCCCCTGCCGGGGCGGAGGGACCTTTAGCCTTATTTGTAGAGAAGGGGGCAGATGTCTGACGCTTGCCCAGCACACTGGGAGCTGCCTGCCTGCCGCCCCTGCCCCCCCCACCCCCCAGGGCAGGACAGAGAGTCCCTGTGTGGTTCTCTATCCTCATTTCATCTCTCAAACACATTCCTTTCCCCAAAGACAACCCGCCTTGCGCAACCGGGAGTCCAGGAGAGCTTCTCAACAAGGATCCCCTGAAACCGGGCTGCTTTGTCCTCAAAAATGGGGGGCTGGGCGGCTCCAGCATCAGGCACCAAGGAGGGTCCTGGTTCCTTTAAGACGGAGAGCTCTAAGCCTGGTAGAAGGCTAATGCCACCCCCTCCTGCTCTTTTGGAAAATAAAATATAAGACGGTTTCCGGGACGTGGGGTGATGTGGGGGGTTTTGGGAGCAGAGCTGAACAGCTGAGACATCGGTGGCCCAGGCAGCTGCCACAGCTACCGCCTCCCTGGCGCCTGGTAGGTGAATAAAGGGCTGACTCCCCAGCCTGGAACTGTGACACAGCAGGGAAGGCAGGCACTTGCTTGGCATTACACATACCTCCCAGCTTTCCAGAACATTCTGGCAGGCAGTTCCCTCCTTCCACACTGTTCTTTCCAGCCACATCTCCCCAGCCCACCCGTGAACATGCTGCCAGGACAAGACCTTGGAGAAGGGTGAGCCGCCGGGATCTCCCTGGCAGGGAGCCTGGCCGAGGGGCGGGGAGAGCAGGCCTGGGCTTGCTGCACCCAACCTTCTGGGCAGAGGTCACGGGCCGTCGTGTTTTCCGAGAACCACTGGGCGGGCCCAGCCCTGCCTGAGATGCCATCTTGCAGAGACAAGGGGGGAATCTGCCCCAGTTCCCCCTGGTTGCCAAGGGGCTTGTTGTCGGGCGGTTTAGTTTGGGGTGTGGTGGTTACGCTGGAGGAGACGCCTGGCAGCTGGCCCAGAGGACGTTCTCAGTTCTGGTTATTCTGATCGTGTCCTTTTTCCGCCCTAATCTTCAGGGGGCCAGGCCTGGCCACAGGGGGGTCCCAGGCTGTGGCTCCTCCTCCTCACTGGCCCCCACAGGGGCAGTTGGGGCTCAGGAGATGCCAACCGCCCTTTCCAAAGTCCTCACCAAGGCTCTGGCCCTGCCAGCCTCGGGGAGGGGCACCAGCTCACCCCGGTTGTTTGTGCTTTAGGAGACCCGGGCGGGGGGCCTGCTCCATGCGGGCGGCCGGCGGGCAGTGCCCCCGGCGGGCACCAAACCGGCCCAGAGCTCCACCACAGGCTGTAAACTGCCCTGGACACATTAGTTTTTTGTTTGTTTTTTAATTTTCCTTCTCTCCCACCTTCCGATCCAGAAATAAAATGGGCTGAATTACCCTTTTGGCCTTGTTGCCACGCAATCACAGATACTGTTTTGTGCCCCAACGAGATCTTACTTTTTATTACTTTGCACCGGGCATTTTCCACTTAATACATAACCAGTATCTACCCCGGCAGGAAGCGCTTCTCCTGCGAAACACTTCCAACCTCCAGGCCCCTGGTCACGGCGTAGCAGAGCCGTGACGCACGGGGCCCCGCAAGCGACTGCGGCGACTCGGGGCTGAACTTTCAGGCCCACTTGCTCCCGAACACTTTTTCCCCTTTTTTCTTTTTTAATTAAATGTAGCCCAACCATTTACACAATAAAATCACAGCTGGGTTTCTTAACCCGGGACACCGGTTAGCGCGGCTCTGGGTGCGGCTCTCCAAGGGAGCCTGGGAGCCTGGCCGCCCGCACCCCGCCCCGCCCCCACCCCGCGCAGCGCAGCGCTGACGTCAGCGGCTCACGAGGCCCGGCCGCCGCCCGCGAGTCACGCGCTGCCGCCCGAGTGATGCGCCCTCTGCAGAGATCCCTCCGCCGCCGCCTGGAATTTTCCAGACTCTTGGCCGGCCCTTCTTTCGGGCTTCTTGGGGCGGGGTGACCTGAGGCGACCCGGGAGAGCAGACCCCCCCCGCCCGCCCCTCGCCCCCTTCCGCTCTCAGGGGACGGTGGGTGGGACCCCACCGACTCTAGAGGAAGAGGGGACTCACCCCCGTGGCCCCCGCCCCCCGGGTGTGACCTTGACATCTGCGGGTCACTGCCGAGGGCGGTGGCCGCGCCGGAGGCGCCACGTGGGCGGGGCGGGGGGGGGCGGGGGGACTCTTTTCCGGGTGGCGGTGGAGGAATCGTCCCGCTGAGCGGTGCAGGGTGGCGCGGCCGGGTCTATAAAAGCCAAAAGGTGGTGGCCTGTCCGGCAGGAGCCAGCGGCAGGGAGGGCCGCGCGGGGCAGCTGTGCGGGAGGAAGTGGCCAGCTCAGGGCCTTAGGGGAGCCTGAGGGGCGGGTGGGGCGATGGCGGGCTCAGACGAGGCGGGGGGCCTGGGGGCCCCCGGAGGAAGGTTCAGGGGGCGAGTAGGTGTGGGGGGAGCCGTCCAGAGGGGAGCTTCGTGGAAAGGAGCCGTCACGAGGCGGCCGGCGGCGCCCGTCCAGGCCTCGCTCTGCCTGTGGGCGCCGGGCACGGCCTCGGGGAGGGAGGTGCCGCCCGTGGGCTGAGTGCCCGCGGGGCCCGGCTCGGGAGGGAGGCAGAGAGGACAGGAGGAGGCAGGGTGTTGCCACCCTGCGGGAGGCCAGGCGGGACCGGGTGGCGGGTGCCCTGAGTGTGGGGAGGAAGCAGTGGGTGCCGGGCCCAGGTGGCCGGGCGGGCTGGCCTTGACCTTGTCACACCAGCAGCCCCCTTTCTTCCAGACCAAGGGTGTGCACCCGCCCGGGGATGAGGCCTGGTCTTGTGGAATTGAACTTAGCTCCGCGGGCCGGCGGCTCGGCCCAGGGTGGTATGTAACGGGCCGGCCAGGCCCCGGCGGAGCCCAGGTCTGGGTGAGGCCAGGCCCCGGTCGGCCGTGAGGGTGGTCAGGAGCGATGGAGGCGGCCAGGTGCCACCCCCGGCGGCTGCTGCGCCGAGGCCGGGGGCGTGGACCACACTGACCCTCGCTTTATTTTCCAGGTGGCAGTGCTCCCCCTTGGACTTGCCCTGTAGGTTCGGTGCTAGCCGCTCTGCCCCTCCTCCCTTTACCTCTCTCGAGGTTTCCCTTCACTTAAAACCTTGCTTCTGGTGACCTGGTAAGCCCGGGAGGTGCCGAGGGCCCTGCTGGAGTCGGTATTGCTGGTAACCTCGACGGAGAGGCTGTCCCTGCCGAGACGGGTGGGGCGGGCTGGTGTCGCTGGCCGGTGGAGAGGGCGGGATTGCACGGGCACCCGGGGCTGGGCCCGCAGCGATGGGACCAGCTGGGAGTCCCTCATGGACCGTGGTTTGTTACCATAGTGTTCTTCACGGCGACCAGATGGCACCAGCAGACATGGAGCCCCTGGCCAGTGTGAGTCGTAGCAGAGGAGAGAGCTCGCCTAAGTTGATGGCTGCAGATTGAATTTCCAGAGTCTTAGGAGGAGGAAGTTCTCCAATGGCATGTTTCCAGGCCTTGCTCAGGAAGCCCTGTGTTCAGGAGCCCCTCAGTTAAGGTTTCAGATGAGCTTCTGCGGGGGGCAATCTTAAAGTCCAAATCAGATGCTCCGGGCCACCAGCAGATGCGTTTATTTGAATCTTGATCTTGGAGCACCAACCTCCGGGCCCATGAATGCCAGCAGGCACCCCTCCTTTTTTGGGTGGAGGTTTTCAGATGCTGCATCTTCTGTATTGAGCCTCCTGTCATGCTAGTTCTCTGCTACGAACCTTGCTTCCAGAAGATTCTTAAGCTGTAGAACATTTTAACGTTGATGTCGCAACGGAGAGTGATGCCTTGTAGATGGAACTTGCAGATGGAGCCCAGTGATCCTCTCACCTACCCACCCACCCGCCTGCCTGCCTGTGCTTTGGTCGGAGGAATTCTTAGTGTGATGATGGAACTGTGGGAAGTGCCTTGGGCAAAGGCTTGGATGAAGCAAGTTGGGGTGGGGATGATTGGAGTGTGTGCAGCCTGGTGGGGTACAAGTTGGTCATGTCCAAATTCTGTTAGAAACGGCAGGTGTAGTTTGGGCATTTCCATTGCATCGCAGGTTACAAAGAGGGGAATGGTCGGGTACTGGCGGTGATCTTTGGTTCATCTTGCTGTATTTTAACTTGAATTCTACTTGATTAGATTTCAAAATAATCTTGGTATTCAAGGGGGATCCTCCCTGAGGTGAGGGTAGTAAGAGGGAAAGGGTACAGCTTGACACTGGTATTGGGGGGAGTGAAGAAAGGGAAGAGGGGTGATTAGCTCTATGGCAGAGGGTGGGGCTGTAGGGAATATGGGGGAAGGGAATTCTCTGGGGAAAGGGAGGTGCTGGGAGGGGTGGGTTGGAAAAAAGAAGAGGATGGGTTATATTACAGAGGGTGAGGGTGGTAGGGAATGTGGGTTGAGGGGGATTTTCTGGAGAAAACATCGGTGGGGAGAGCTCTGGAGAATTTAATAGCTGGTGGGTAAAGAAAATACTACTTAATATTAGTGAATTGTTCACGCTAGTTGAATTGTTGCTTGGAAGCACAAAAGTTCATTGGAAACTTGCTAAAGCACTTAGAACTCTCGTGCAGAGGAGAAAGCAAAATTGTTTTGCATTGCTGCAAGGTGGGGAAGGCCCAAGACCTGTGTCAGTCGCTTTGAAAGATGGGTGTCAAAACCTTGCAGCAGGGTATTAACGTCCTTCACTGCTAAGTGGTTTATCTGAAGCTGTGAAGCTGAGTCTGAGAAAAGGCTTTCAATGCTCAAATTGTGGGCTTTTAAAGTATTTAAATTTGGGGGAAAAATTTGAGATTTTGGTGTACACGAGATTAGACGTACGCTTTTGGGGTTACTCTTCTGGGTTTGTAACTCGTTTTTGGTCACAGATTTTCTGATTGAAAATTCGGAGCAAAGTGAAAAATGATTTCTAAAGGAATTTTGTATGTCAATATTGTACCTTATAAACAAATCGCTTGTCTTTTGTAGTCAGTAGTAAAAGTTTTTGCTTAAGATTATCTTTACATAGTCATTGTAACAAGGAGAATCAAATAACCTTTTGTGGTCACTGTAAAATTACTGTAATATTTGGTAACAATTCATGTACCAAGGTTAGATCATCTATCATGTCTTCAGTTTGAAAGTTTGCTTTTTAAATGATCCACTACTACAGGGGAAACTTTCAGCGAAAATCAGTTTGGGGAGTGAGAACAAAAATGTGGTGGGAGGCTTTGCTAGGTGCGGTGTAGCACTTGTTGGAGATGCATCTATTGGTAAAGTAACCAGTGGCTTTTTGTTACCATGTCTCTCTTCTCCTTAAATTTCACCTTAGAAATTTTAAATCCCCAATACTTTTGACTTTGAGATTCTTGTTTTCTGGATTTAAAAAAATGTTTTCAAATATGTTGGCATGATAGTTGCGTTCTTAACCAGAGACTTGGGCGTGACACGGTTACTGACTGTCCTTGGAATTAAGAGTGTTATGCATGTATGGGGAAATAGGTTGGGTAAGAACTAGTACTGTTGCCTCATGTATGTGACTAATCATTTTTCTTCCCCATTTCAGCACAAATAAAGGTTTGAGCTCTAAACTCATTAGAATCGTTGTATTGCTATATTTTTTTTTACCTTTATCTTTTCTGTAAACCAAGTTGCCTTCGCAATTAATTTGAATGTATCTTCATATTGTAGATTTAGGCTTAAATTCACTTTTCAACAGCTCCAAGTAACTGAGGTCATTCGATAGAGTTTGGTAACCTCAAGAGAACTAGTGTGTCCTGCTGGGTGGGCCTGAAGCCGGGTGGGCAGGGCGGGGCTCTCCTCAGCTCACTTGGGAGTGTTTTGAAAAATGTGCCAACCACTCAGTGAAGTCAATGTGTGTGTGTGTTGGGGGGAGGGAGGGGGCGGGGGCGGGGGGAGGAAGTACTTTGCAATATCCTGGAATTTTACCTGGTTAGGTTTCCAAATGCTGTGGTCAACAAGAGGACCTATTTTTCCATTTGCTTAGGGGAAACGGTCTAAGAATAGAATGGACATGTACCCTGTGTTTTCCATATTTGGGTCTTTGGGAGACTGGATTGCATCTGGGATTTGGGTCTAAGCACATACATGCTTCTCATCTTACTAAAGAGTTTGGCTTTGGCTGACATTTTCTTTTGCTGAATGACAAGAGTTTGGGCGTAGTTGTGTAAGTGCTGTTACTGAACAGCTGGCCATACAAGGTGTGGTCAGAAGCTGATTGTGGTGCTGGGTGGGGAGTGGCGGCAGCATTTCACCTTGTTCTGCTGGGCTGTGACCAAAACGGGACTTCAGAGAGCAGCAGTGGGACTGGCTGCTGTCCTCAGTATCCTGTTCGCCTGCCTCTTCTGTCCTGGTGACCCCTCCTATGTATGCCACTGTCCACCCATCCAGGGTTCAGCTCTGTCAAGAGTTGTCCCATTGTGGGCAGGTTCAAGGACCCTTTCCCTGCTCACCACCCGGTTCTGTTACCCAGGACAGTCTAGGCCTCCTTTCCTACCTTTATCCCTTTCCGTTCCTTTACCCTAGCCCTCCTCCACCTGCTTTGCCCTCTTTGCAGAACGTGTTTGTTCTCTTGTGTTTTATAGGATGATTACAAAACTTGCTTCCAACCTTAAAGGGTAACTGCTATAAATACCTCTGTAAATAGTGCTGTTGCTTAGCAACTGGCAGGCTGATCATTCTCCATAGAGTATAAATGTTTGCCGTTGGGAGAGGTTTGAAGTGGGGCTTGTTAATAGGAGGAGCAGGAAGCAGGGCAGCTGACGGCTGTGCTGACGTCCTCTGGCCTCCCCCCAACCCAGGGGGTTTCGGACTCAGGAGCTTCCTGTTTTGCCCTCAGTTATCCTTGGCTCAGGCAGGAGGGGCGCAGGTGTTGAAGACAGTGTTGCATCCTAGTGCATAGATCTGATTCCAGCCTTGCCTCCGAGCTCCCAGAGGCGGTGGATGGTAGAAAATGGTGATCTGGTACAAATTGAGAGTAATGGGGCCTAAGCATAGCAAAGGTTGAACTTGGAAGTTCTTCTAAAAAGGAAAATAGCAAAAATAGTAATAAATATATACTGAATGAAAAAAATGAGCATTTTATCTTTAAAAAGGAAAACAGCCTGAGTGAGTTGGTTGAGGCTCCATGTGCCCCAGTGGGACACACTAAACTGCAGGAATGGTACGTGTTACAGAAAAGACTTGGGTCCTAACTCCTCCCCCGCCCCCCCCCCCCCCCCCCCCGTGGGCGCCCTTGGGTTTTCTTACTGACCATGCCGTTAAGGGACGTCATGCTGGCGGCTAACCTCTGTGTGCGCCTGTCTCTGGAGGAAGTGGTGGCCCCCGGTTGAGCAGTGCTTGTCATTGCAAATGAAATGCCAGAACAGGCTTCCAGATACGTGCGGCATGTTTTGAGTGTTTATATTTAATGCACAAGAATACACTGCTGCAGCCTGGAGATGGCACGAGGAAGGCAGCAAAATAAGAAATGAAGTTGCGCGTCCCGCGAGTGTGCCCTTGACCTTCCGTGGGTGAGGGCGCCTGCTCCACCCACCACCTTGCCTATGCCTGCTGCCTACGGGCTCCGCTCTGCACCGCCTTCACTTTCTTTTAAGAAACTTCATTCAGTTCTCGTGTGTAAAAATAGTTCGTTGTAAGGTTTACAAATAAGTAAACTGACAAGCAGTAATCTTCCATTAACAATTGTCATTGGCATATTTGCTTCTAGTTTTTCCCATGCTAGAATATATTCATATTTATACAAAAAAGGTTATATTGGAAAAAAAAGGGTTATACTGTAAATTCTGTTCTGCAGCCTTTTCCATATAATATAAGTGGACATCTTTGGTCATTTTGAAGCATCTTTTGTAGCGGTGACAGAATGTTCCGTTGTATGGCTGTATCAATTTAAACACCCTCTTTTAGAGGACATATATGGCATCTTTCGGAGGTTTTTTTCCTCTTGGGGAGTTATGCTGTGATGACCTTCCCTGTAGCTCAAACTTGCTACATTCGATGTTATTTCCTTGGGTGACATGAATGCATTCCTGCCTGTGAAATGCCTATGTCAGGCTTTAGGTTCCTGTTGCGAATTCACCATCTAGGGAGGGATTTCTAAATTAGCCATCTCACCAGTGAGGTACCTGGCTCCCCTTTTTCTCAGAACAGGTATCATATTAAACCCTTTGCTCTGCCTGGACGGTGTCGTTCAGTGGTAGAGTGTGGACTCGTGCACCGAGATCACTGGTTTGATTCCCGGTCAGGGCATATGCCCAGGTTTCAGCCTCGTGCCCTGGAGGCAGCTGATCAATGTTTCTATCTCCCTCTCCCTTCGTTTCCCTAAAAATCAATAAGAAAATATTGAAAAAAACAAAACCTTTGCTCATTGTGCGTCTAGGCTTCCGGAGGGTGGGTGTGAGCACTGCTTTGCTGCCAATGAGGCTAAACATATTTGCAATTGTGTGTGTACGGGACTCCACCTCTTCATCGCTCATTTTTTCATTGTTTAGCAAAAGCGATTACATTAAGAATATTAATAATCCTTTGTTATATTGATGCAAATATTTTTCCTAGTTTGTATAGTGCCTTTTCATTTTTTAATGTGTCTCAGACGCAAAAATTAGTTTTTTCTGAGGTTAATATGTCCTCCTTTCTGGTTTCTTCACCTGGCGTTAGCACTTAGGTTTCTCCCTCCCTAAGAGTATATAAATATTAATAATTTCTGCGGCACTCATGGTTTCATTTTTTACATTTGAATGTGTGATCCAACTGGAGTTTGTGAAGTCTGTTGATGTGTCGGGGTGCGGGGTCAGCAGGCCTGACACCCTCTCGGAGCCCCCAGAGCGTGCTCCCTCCCTGTGATGCCCCCCTGTGGCTGGATGGAGGGGCAGCGTCCTGTCAGCCCCGAGGCTGTCACAGGGGGACAGGTCACTGGAGACCTCTGGGCAGGTGGGGTGTCTCCCAGTGGGATCCTGGTTGTTCCTCCTCCATGGCTCCCTTCTCCCCGTCCGAACTGGTTTGGACCTGTGGCAGCTGGGGTGGGAGGGTCTACTCCCTGACTGCCACTTGCAGCTTAAAGACGGAGCAAGTACTTGCCTCTCTGAGCCTGTTCTGGTCTGTGACGTGGGGGCATCAGGGTGCGTGGGCACAGCCACTCCTCATTGCCCAGCCTCAGACCTGGGCCCCTCCTGGTTCCCTCGCCCATCCCCCCCGCCCGCCTTCCTCCGATCCGAGCCTTTCTTCAGTGGTAACAGTGCGCGTTCTGGCCTATTCGGGTTTTACATTGAATTTTGTTTCTGTTAACGTTTCCCTGCAGCCCCAGAGTCCACAAACACGTCGGAAGTGGCCTTTTCTCCGGGTTGCTTCTTACACGAGAATTCCCCGGCTGGGTTTCTGGCCTGTGGATGCTCTGAAACTGCTTGTTTTTCTGTGGAAAACGCAGTCCCACCGAAGGGCCCGTGCCCTCAAGGTCGTGAGTGGATGGCTGCATGGCTCCCTCCCACTGAGCTTGCGCACGGTGTCTGTCAGTGTTAAGCTGTAAGCAGGGACTTTGTGCTAAAAGACAATAAAAGGTATCAGGTTAACCGCTGTAAGTGTACAGTTCAGTCGTGCCAAGTATGTTTTCATTGTTGTGACTATAACCAAGCTCCAGAACTTCTTCCTGTAAAACTGAAATTCAGTGCCCGTCAAACTCCCCATTCCCTTCGCCCACCCCCCACCACCCGCCGCGGGTACACACCATTCTCCTTTTGTTTCTGAGTTTGACTTCTCTAGGCACCTCATATTAAGTGAAATCATACAGTGTTTGCCCTTTGTGACTGGTTATCTTAGCATAATGTGAGGTGTTCATTTGTGTTGTAGCCTGTGTCAGATTTCTTACTTTTTAAAAGACCTGACTAACCTATTGTGTATCTATACTATTCATCCGTCACTGACCACTTGATTCGCTCCTCACTGAACGCTTGGGTTGCTTCTACCTTTCGGTTATTGTGTCTAACGCTGCTGTGGACATGGGTGTACGAACACCTTATTGAGACTCTGCTTATTTATTCTGGAAAGGTACCCAGAAGCGGAATGCTGGATCATGTGTGTTCTATGTTTAACTTTTGAGGACTTAGACTGTTTTCCATAGCAGCCGCGCCATTTTACACTCCCAACGGTTTTCAGGGGTTCTGATTCTCTACATCCTCACCAATACTTGTTATTTTCTGTTGCTTTATTAATAGCAGCCATGCTAATGGGAGCGAGGTGATATTTCATTGTGGTTTTTATTTGCATTTCCCTAATGATTCGTGATGTTAAGCGTCTTTTCATATGCTTGTTGGCCATTTGTATATTTTTGGAGAAATGTCTTTTCAAAATCTTTTGACCATGTTTTAAATAGAGTTATTTGTATGTTTTGTTGATTTGTTGGAATTCTTTATGTATTATGGATGTTAACCTCTTATCAGTTACACAATTTACGAATATTTCCTCTCATTCTGTAGGTTCCCTTTTCACTCGGTTGATTGTGTCCTTTGATGCCCAGAAGTTTTTACTTTTCATGTCCAGTTTATCTATTTTCACTTTTGTTACCTGTGCTTTTGGTGTCATGTTCAAGAACTCTTTGCCAAATTTGATGTTAGAAGTATTTGTTGCTACTTTAAAAAGTACTTGAGTAATCATAATTTGCGTTTCTGTAATTACTGGCTAGTCTGATTTTACCACTTAATTTACAATCTGCATTTTGCCTCTTTAACCACTTACCACATGAAATTTTCCATTTTGATTTTTTATAACGATCATACATTTTTTCGTATAGTTGGGAAGGTAAGTGTTCGCCAGTGAGGTTGTCAAACTTATTCTCATTTTTTCTTTTTATTGCTGGAGCAAAAGGTATCTATTATACAAGGACTTTTAAGAAATTAATGTAATAACAACAATAAATGTGTTGGGTTTTGATGACTTTCTTTAGTAGCTAAGCACGTGTATACTACCACGGTCAGTACTCTTCTCCATTTAAGGAATAACGTGAATCTAACCCAGGAGCGGATCTAAATTATACTCATAAAGTTGAAATATCAGAGTTTTATTGAGTAAATACTGTTTTTTGCTCTTTTATTCCAGGTCTTAAAATTATCTGCCTTCATCTATTTCTGGAATTTTTAGTCTGTAACTTTTATTTTCAATCAAATACAGTGAACTTTAATGACTGTCATCGTCCATTATGTTTTAAAATCTAGGAAGTTGAAGCTGTGATACTCTTCTCAAGGCAAGAATATTCTCTCCTTGTTAGAGCTGAGTACACAGAACTGGGCTAATCTTTGGTTCATGATATAACGTGCTCTTTTATGTGCTTCCTTGATGTTTGTACTGGTGTGGTCAGCATTTCTGAACCTCATAGTCAACATAAAGCCTAGAGCTGTAGACAGGAAATTCCTCTGCTTCCTCCCGGCCTCCCCCTGGCCAAGGCCGTCGTCCCCTCCACTGGCTCCTTTCACTGGCTTCTTTTCACTCGACTCTAAGAAAATTCTTACCTAATGCGTTCTGTAAAGTACATGTTTTAATTGTAGTTGCTTTTTACTTTATAGGAAAGGCATTAATGTTGTGCATAATCCCCTGGACTTTTTCTCATTTAATATAAGGTTCATACGGTGCCCTGTGTGCGGCTCATCCGGTTTGTCGCTGGGTAGAATCCAGCATGTGGCTGTACCACAGTTAGGTTGTTGACGTTTCCATTGCTTCTCTGATTCCATTGAGCGCGATGATACGAGTGATAGGTGGTTGCTGTACACAAATTACAGCCTGACCAGCAAGGTAGGCACTACCCGCCCCACCCGTGCCCAGGGTCACCCGTTGGCTGTTTCCTGCCACACCTTTATCTCATGATTTAGATCCATATCTAAATGAGATTGTGTTCTTTTTCTTTTCTGTGTAAGTGGGGAAAATATTGTGTATTGTATATAATTATTGACTTATTTTTTCCATTTAACAATAGGGAGACTCACTTGATCTGCTTCGTGGTATTTCTTAACATGAATGTGAGTTATTTTAGCTGTTCTGATACTGACGGACATTTTCAATCTTTTGATGTTTCACACAGTACTGTGCTGTCATCACCAGCCACACCCGCCATTGCAACAGGCTGGAGTGTTTCTCAGGGCAGGGACCAAGAAGTGGAATTCCTGGGTCATAGGACTGGGTGGCAGTGTTCTCTTCTGCCCTGTCGCCTGCCCTCCAGAGAAATGTACAAGTTCCCATACCTGAGCACGCGGTTGTCTGTTCACATGCTCAACACCCTGCAGAGCAAACTGCAGTTTCTGCCAGTTGCCTTTGATGTGTCATGTATTCACAGTGACTCAGAGACTTTAACGGGTACAATGGGTTCTTGGCATCTGTGCGCTGAACGTTTGCGGGCTAAACGCTGATAGGCGTCACGAGGTCCAAGACACACTATACTTTTCTTGAAGTGTAATGTTTTAAATTACTTGTGTCATGAGGCTGAGGACACCCAACCGTAACTCTTACGTCCACGTCGCACGGTGGCTTTGTTCCCTGCTTATCTTTGCATTTCAGCAACTCTTCCGAAGGGACCAAAATCTACTGCAAATGTTACTGTATTGTGTACTGTTGTATGGATGGGGATGTGGCGAGGGTGTGGCATAATTTATTTTAATCCCTTTGTAAATTACTGGTCTTGTATTTAAAAGTCAAGCACTACAGAAAGACACAGGCAGAAGATGAAAGTCCTTCTAGACTTTCTCTCCCAAGATAACTACTGATGACAGTTTATATTCCCTCACCATCTTTCCTCCGTGGCCATTCTACACGGTACCTGTTGTTATCTGCTCTAAAATGGAGCCATACAAGATACGCTGTTCTGCCACTACTGTATTATTTTCCTGGCTCCGTAATGCTTGATCTTGCACGTGTTGGTATACAGTACTACGCTCTCACCGTTATCGTAGCGTGTGCCCTCTCTGCTTCCTAAGTTTGCTGTAAAACAGCATGCCATGCTGCCCGCGGCGGCCCGCACATCCGTTTACCACAGCTCCGTGCTTCCTACCTCTTGTTTTATAACCGGAGTGGAGCCTAAACGTACAGAGCGTATAAAGTGGACAGTGGTGGGCAGTGAGGCCCGGGGTCTTCACATCCATTCACCCTCACTCACTGACCCGCCCAGAGCAGCTTCCGGTCCTGCAGGCTCCATTCACGGGAAGAGCCCTGGAGAGGTGCACCATTTTTATCTTTTCTGTCACACTTTACCGTATCTTTTCTGTGTTTAGATCTACAGGTACGTACCATAGCGTTACAGTTGCCTAGAGAATTCCGTACAGTAGCAAGCTGTACAGGGGTGTAGCCTGGGAGCAGGAGGCCCCAGAGCCTCGCTGTGCGGCGGCTGGACCGGCCAGGTTTGTGTGAGTGCCTCTGATGTTCTCACAGCGAGGAAGCCCCCTAACGGCTCCGTCCTCCTCCCCGCCCCCCTCGTGCTGTTGGGGCCTTGGGCTCAGTCTGGGGAGGTGGGCTGAGAGTTCCTGCTGCGCAAATCGGTAAGGCAGGCCTCCGAGCGTGCCGTGGCGAGCAGCGGACACCGTTCGCTGCCTTGTCCACACCAGAATTTGGCATAAGCTGGCGCCTGACTTGTTTAGCACAAAGCAAGCCCAGAGTCTGCTTCCTGGTGTCTTTCCCCCGTGAAGGTTGAAAAACAAACTATTCTGGGAAAGCAGTTGTGACAATTGCAAAAAAGTGCCATTTAGTTCGATCTTGTGTTTGGTCTGTTGAAATCTCACCTGGCACCTGTGTAAGCATGTCCAGTCCCGAGTGGAAGCGTGCGGGTGGGCGGGCGGGCGGGGCACCGTCTGCTCCCTGCTGCCCTCAGCACAGCCCTGGCTGCTCTCTGCCTTCAGCGCGGCTCCCTCCCCCCAGAGGCCACCCAATGCGGAGCACAGTGTGAACCCCACTGTCTTACTCGGCTCCTAGGGTCACGGGAGCTCAATGTCAGCAACGGCAGGGCCGAGGATCCACCCGAGTCCTCTCCCCTCAGCCCCTGGGTGTCAGTGTGCTGTCCCCCTTGCTCTTCTGTCGGTGTGACAACTGGGGACCCACCGTCTGTGTCAAAGCAGGGTCCCGTCTGCCTCATGCTGACACCAGGGCAGAGGCTCTGCTGATTTTCATCCAACTTATTTAAAGGCGTAGACAGTGTTCAAAGGAACGCCTACACCTGTTTCCTTCAAAGCTGTAGAGGCACAGGGCCATCTTTCTCTCACCCTGGACCCCTTCCCACAGAGGCAGCTGTTAGGGCCGGTTGCTGGAGTCTTTCTTGAGAATCGTGCACATGTTTAAACCCACAGTGGCTCTGCTCTGCCACATACCCTGTCTTGCACTTTGAATTATTTCGTTAACACACATCTAGGTGCTCACAGCATATCTGTATTTATGGTTGGCCTTAGGCTTTTCAACGTTTGTGTTGTAATCCATGCTTTAATTACCCATTTCTCTTTTGGTGAGCAATTAGGTTGTTTCCAGCAATTTTTACTGTATATAAGGCTCTACTGGGTATTTGTATGTGTTTGGGTTTTTTAAAAATATATTTTTGTTGATTTCAGAGAGGAAGGGAGAGGGAGAGAGAGAGAGAAACATCAATGACAAGAGAGAATCATTGATCGTTGACCGGCTGCCTCCTGCACACCCATACTGGGGATCGGGCCCACAACTCGGGCATGTGCCCCTGACCGGACTTGAACCTGGGACCTCTCAGTCCCCAGGCCGATGCTCTATCCACTGAGCCAAACCAGCCAGGGCTATTTGTATGTGTTTTTATGCACATGGGCAACCATAGCTACTGGAGGAAGTTTCCTGTCGGGCATTCGCAGCCCCAGGGCCTTTCTAAATACAGGCAGTTCTCAGGTTATGTTGTTTCGTGGTTACGTCACCATCTCCCATTTATTTATAAAAAAAAAGTTCCGTCATTTCGACGTATGTACATATGTGCTTTATGTTTATTTATTTACCACAAGTAAAGGTCAGGAATTATCTTTCTTTTAAATTTTTTATTGTTTCACTTCATTACTGCTGTGTATGTGCTCCATGTGAGGGACGTAGGTGGGTTCCGATTTACGGCAAAAATCGCATTACATGGCTCCGTAGGATCGGATCTCCGACGTAACGTGAGGACCTACTGTATGCTGGCCGCCCCAGGCTGCATGCACTTTAGGGAAATGGTTCGCGTTGACATTTCCTTACGTCTTTACCGACCCCGTGCTCTTGGACTTGACAGTTTGTCAGTGTGAGAAGTGAAAATACATTTCATCGTAGTTTTTTGCAGTTCTTTTGGATTGTGTACTTCATTACTTTTAAGAGCTCTTTATATATTAAATAAATTAGCCCTGTCAAATACTTTCCTGTTTGTCATTGACTATTAACTGTTACGCTAAAATTTTGCTGTTCAGAATTTTAAATATATAAATACTCATCAATCCCTCTCAAGATTACTTTTTGTTAAACCCCATGTTTCATCCTGTTTTTTAAATTTGAATCTGGGATCTGTCTGGACTGAATTTGGTGTAATGAGTGACTAAGGGACAGTTAGCCTATTGTCTCCACGCCGTGTACTGACTCATGCCTCTGCTACCATTGATCTGTCTATTCGTGTGCCGGCTTCGGTTTTAAATATTGCAGTTCTGTGCTCCAGTGTATGCTACGGATGGCCAGGCCTCATTACTTTACCTCTCCTTCCTTAAGATGTGCTACTTTGTTCTTGTGCAAGAATACGGTATGCCTTTCCATTTACTCACGGATGTTTGCTTTGGCCTTGTGCTCGATGGGAGGGTGTGGTCAGAGGTCTTGGTCCGTGACAGTGTCTGGGCCTCCTGTCCTAGTGACCGTCGCCGTCACAGAAAACTTTCCTGGGTTTTGCTCCGCCTAAGAGTGACTTGTTGCTGTGGAGCTGGCCGTGTCCAGTCCAGCGGACTTTCGGATGCAATGCTTCTAAACACACTGTCCTGGTAGCCATGCCGACCTGTTTACCCAGCTGGGGAGGAATGGGGCCTGCTCTGGGATGCTCGCATTGCCCCGGTTTCATTGAGATGTCACTGACGGAGCAATTCTGATCCTCTGCCGTGCGGCTGACTGCTGTTGTGGGCAGTTCTGTGTACCCGGATGTGTGAACAGAGTCCTGTTCTGGTGCCAAGCGCCTGACCCCAGGCTCAACCCTGAACCGCCTCTCCTGTCCACACCTGCTGGAACAGCTGCCAGAATGCACTGCGTGCTTTCCTCCGTGTCAGAGATCACGCAGGCCAGGATCTGCTGGATCCAGGCTCTCGAGGCCGCCGTTGTGAACACCCTGTCCTGTCTGGGACACGGTGGTTCTTTGGGGGCTGCCAGGTGGGGCGAGCTCGTCCCCTCACTGCCTTCTGGTTAGGGGCCGGGTCAGGGCCAGCCGCCCCTCCTTTCCTGGGCTCATTGTCTGCAGCGGAGAACTGAAGGGGCCTGAAGCCAGACGCCAAGCCTTTCCGTCCGCGATGCATTTTCTGCGCAGAAGTCGGGTCTGAGCCTGCTGGTGGGGCTGGTTTTCCGTCAGCGCTGCTCTGTGTTCTGGTGATGCCTTTTTTCTGACTTACTGTTGAAACTGGGTGCGGTGCTTTTCCCTGTTTCCTAAGACGTTGCTGTGCATGAATCTGATAATTTCCTTAAGAGAGTTCCTTAGCGGTGACGCTACTGGCTCAGAGGGTGTGGCCAGCATGAAGGCGTTGGACTCGGGTTGCCCGGTGCCCCCCCTACAGGGGCACAGCTCAGCTCTCCCAGCCCCCCACAGCAGCCGTCCCACAGCCCTGCTCTCCCCGGTTTGTTTCCATTTTTGCTGACTGGGAGGCAAAAACGGTCTCGGCGTTTTCATTTGCACTTTTGATGGTGTGAGCTGTGTTCACTGTGTCTGTTAGCCGACTCTGCTTTGTGCTTCATTTAAGCTTCCAGTTCCCGGGACCTCTGTTGAGGGTGGCTCCCCTTACATATCACAACAGCTTTCAGGTTTGAAGTTTGCCCTTTAAATTTGCATGTTGGGTCTTGCCGACGGTTTTACGTTTTGTAATCAAATCTATTTTCTTACTATAGTTTCATCCTTTGGTATTATGCTTATTTCCTTCTGGTTCCCTTGTGGTTTTAATTTTGACGTTTAACTCTTTAATCCGTCTAGAAGTTAATTTGCTGTACAGTATGAGGTAAGAATATAATCTAGTTCTTTCAAAATGGCTAACCAAAGTTCCCAGCACCATTTACTGAGTAATTCTTTCTCTCTCAATTTGAAATGCCACTACTTCATTAAGTTCTGTTTCTGAGCTTTCTAGTCTGTTCCACTGACCTGTCTTTCTGTGGGCCAACCCAATGGTTTAATTATTTTAGCTTTATAATAAAATAGGTTTTTATTGGAATTGCATTATCAACATAAACATCATAATACCGAGACTTTCCATTTAGAAACTGGCCTCCGTGTGCATTCAGATGGGAGGATTGTCACCAGGCAGTTTAGACTCAGGGGTTTTAGGCTTCGCATGTACAAGCTGTGCACGTCTATGCTGTTCTTAGGACTGCTGTTCTGTATCGTGGTTGGATCTGTTTTTCAATTAAAAGTTCAGACGAGCTTTGTACATTGGCAGCGTCGTAGCCAATGAGGTTTATCCGAGGTACAGTTACTGCTCATAAAAGAAAAAAAGTTCAGATGATGGAAACATATGGTAAGGTGTGTGTGTGTGTGTAGTAAATTATGCTGAACTTCAATGTTAGGGCCAAATAGAGGTAATGCAGCCTCTTGGCTAAAATTGTCAGCTTTCGAATCCGATCACCTGCTCTCACACTGGACCCGCCTCCATCATGACCAGTCTCCTGCCTTAGTTTCCCATATTTTAAAAAGTATCATCATATTATTTACTAAGAATATGATGAGGGTTAAGTGAGCATTGTGCTTATTTGTGCGCTCCTGAAATGGAGTGGCACTGTTGGTGGGGTGTCCACATAAGTAGCCCGTCATCTTTAATACGTATATTATCATGTGACTTACTCCATTTTTCATGCTTCTCTCACCTGTCTAATTACCAATGAGCTGCGAGCATCGTGGCCTTGTTCCCACCTGACCCTCTACTGGGATCTGTGAGCAAATAAAAGGGGGCCAGGCAGGGCCCCGGGAGGTGCACATAGGCCCCAGCAGCCCGCATCAGTGGCTGAGGGGCGATTGTCCTGCCGGTGGTCCTCAGGACAAGCTGGGCGGCCTGCTGGTGGGCATTTTAAATTCTAATATCTATGTATATTGTATTTATATAACATGTATTTGAAAAACCACTGGTTTTCTATTTATGGTGGTAATATAAAGTTTCCTTTTAAAGTAAATTTATTTTTTCTTTTTTAAATTGAAATATTTACACAACATAAAATGCATGCTTTTAAACTGCAAGTAAGTGGGTTTTAGCATTTCACTGTGTTGTGCAACCATCACCAATATTCATTTCCAGAACTTTTCCATCATCCCAAACAGAAGCTCTGCGCCCATTGAACAATAACTTCCCGTCCCTTCCTCCCTAGCCCCTGGTGGCCTCTGTTTCTATGAATTTGCCTATTCTTGGTATCTCGTATAAGTGAAATCAGCCTGTCCTTTGTGTCCGTCTTATTCCACTTGGCATGAAGAATTCAAGGATCGTCCATATTGTGGCATTGAACAGCACTGCGTTTCTTTTTATGACGGAATCATGCTCTGTTGTACGGATGCACCACGTTTGGTTTAGCAAATGTCAGTTGGACATTTGGGTTGTTCCCACTCCTTTAGCTATTATAACTCTGCTATAAACATTTGTGAGGAAATTTTTGTATGAACGTAAGTTTTAAATTCTCTTTGATTTGATATCTACTTGGGAGAGGAATTACTGGGCCATATAATAACTCTGTGTTTAACTTTTGGGGGAACTGCCAAGCCTTTGCAATGTAGCTGTACCGTCTTACCTTTTCGCCAGTGATCTGTGAGGGTTCCATGTCTCCATTCTCGCCAACACTTCTTCTCACCTGGCTTTATGGCGGCCCCCCTGGGCCCGGGAAAGCGGGATCTCGTGTCGTTCCGTCAGGCGGCTCTTCATGTGCTCGCCGGCCGTGCCTGTATCTTTGGAAAAGTGTCTACACTGATCCTTTGACCACTCTTAACTCGGGTTTTGTCTCTTCATTACTGAGTTACAGGAGTTCTGTGTGGAGTTTGGGGACAACCTCCCTCAGATATGTGATTTGCAGATAATTTCTCCCATCCGGGAATTTGTGATTCCATTTTCTTGATAAGTTCCTTGGACATAAAATAAATTTACATTTAAAAAGTGAGTTGAGAGATCAACCAAAGGACTTGTATGCATGCGTATGAGCATAACCAATGGACACACACAGTAGGGCGTGTGCTGGGGAGTGGGAGCGGCTGGGGAGAGGTCAATGGGGGGGGGGGACCATATATAATACTTTAAATAATAAAGAATTTAAATTTGAAAAAAAGGAATTGATATAATGGGGATGGGGGGCACTGCTGTACTCAGACGTGGCAAAAGTCTCCCAGTGCTGTGGGAATGATGAAAGTTTGGGAGGGAGGGTGTCCCGAGGAGACCACCGGTGTCTGGAGGCAGGAAAAGGAGTGTGATCCTTGACCGTGAAATGGGTGAGCGCTGCCCGGTGCGTCCCTTCGCGTGTGATGTCCCTGGCATCGCGTTAGGTGTGCCGGCGTCTGGGTTGCTCAGAGGCGTTTTTTTCATCAGTAACATGTTGGGTTTATTAAAATGTCTTTTCTGCGTCTTGAGATGAGACTCAGGTTTTCTCCTTTCATTTTCTAATGATTAATTATCTTAATGGAATATTAAGGTTTGTATTAATATTAATGGGATCGTTTGCTGTCCTGTGATTTCTGAAACAAACCATTCCCTGGCCTGGAGCTTTGTTTTGTCGACACAGAAATCAATCAGAAGGTCCACGTCGACTTCAGGGCGTTGTCAGGCAGAACGCGGAAAGGCACGGTCAAGAGCAGCGGCTAAGAGCACAGCTCTGACCGCTTGGCCTCTGTTCCCTGCTCTGTCACTTAATAGAATCGGACTTTGGTCAAAATTCTTAATTTCTTGAAGTCGGTTTCCTCAGTGATAAAATGAGGGCAAAACGGTCTTAGAACCTATCTCTTGGCCTGAGCGAAATTGGTCCCGGGGCGTGGGCACTGAGTGGGTGAGGGGACAGCTGCCTCCTGCGCGTCAGGAGAGAAATGCTGGACCGAGGCCAGTCCCAGCCTCGGCACAGGCTGCCGCCACTCCTCCTCGAGGGTCACTGGTTCTTTGTGAACTTTTTCCGTTTCTCCTGAGTTACTGTGCTAGTCAATATTTCTATTTCATCATAAGTTAATTTTTCAAAGTTATATTTGCTAAGAAAATCACCTTTTTCATAAGTATTAGTGTAAAATATGCTTTTACATTTTAATATTCTGAGTAGTTTTCTCATTTTATTCTGATTCCTAGTTTTTCTTTTTTTCTTTACCTTTAGTAGACTTTCAAGAAATGCATTTTGTTGACCTTTTCAAAGAAACAGCTTTAGATAAACAGTCTGCTTTCATTTTGTAATTTATTAATTTCTACTTTTATTGCATTGATTCCTTCTGCTTTCCTTGGATTGGTTTTGTTACCCTTTTCCCAGTCTTCATTTATGTTCAGACCCACATACTTTGAACAGTAGGAAGGGAAGGTGCAGCCTCGGGAGGGAGGCCCTGGCGCAAGGTGGTCCTGCTGCAGCCGCGCCAACCGTCACCCTGTGGTCGGGACAGGCCTCAGCTGCTCATCCTCCCGAGAGGGTGTCGGGATCCTGTTGGTGGGCAGGGCCCGGCAGGCACGTGAGGGCCTTCGGCAAAGGGAACAGAACTGTTGTCTCCTTCCTCAGTGTCCGCTTCTAGCAGTCCCTCCAGTAACGCCCTCCGTGGCAGACACAGCACACAAGACGGCTGGCCCTGCCTTCATGGCGCCCCGTCCTCATGGGGCACAGGCCTGAGGTGGGGATTACACAGACTGTAGGTTAGCACCGCTGTGGCAACAGCCACACGGAGTGAAGTGCAGCCCGAAGCCCTGGCGGGTAGCTCAGTGGTTAGAGCCGGCCCAGTCAGGGCACATACAAGAACCAGCCCATGACGCACCAGTGAGTGGAGAGACACATCGATGTTTCTCTCCCTCTCTCTCCCTTCTCCCCTCTCTCAAAGAATTAAGATTTTTAGGAGCGTGGCCTGAGAGTAAGGACAAACCCTCACGTGGAGGAGGGACCTGTGAGCTCCCCTTTGGGGGGGGATGGCCTGTCTGAGGAAGAGCGTTTCCAGCGGAGACCAGGGCATGGCAGCCCCTGAGCTGTGAAGGGCACTGGCTGGAGCCACCTTGAGATTCGGATGTGACTCCAGGGGCCGGGAGGCCTCCCAGCTGTACTTGGGGAAAGATCTGCCGTCCTCATGTCCTGTGTGCTTTGTGGTTTCAGCTCTGCCATACAATTTGACTAGTTATTTAAAAGCATGCTTTAAAATTTCTACGTGTTTGGGAAATACTATTTTTAACTATTGTAATCTACTTCTAATTTAATGAATGATTGGTTACCTGAGCAAGCAGCCTGTACAGTTCCTGCTTTTTGGAGTCTATGGTTCCCTTTTCATCGCTTCAGGTATGATAAATATATAGATTTTTGTTGTTGTTGTTAATCCTCACCTGAGGATATTTTTCCATTGATTTTTAGAGAGAATGGGAGGGAAGGGGAGAGACAGAAATACTGATGCGAGAGAGACACATTGATTGGTTGCCTCCCACACGTGCCCCAACCGGGCGGGGATTGAGCCTGCAACTGAGGACCAGAGTTGAACCCAGGACCTTCAGTCCACGCGCCGACTAGGGCCAGGTATGATATTTTGGTCACGTCCCCTGGCAGTCCGAGGTGCTCCGTGTCACGTCCCGCTCTGGACCAGCCCCTGCCTCGGTGTTTCTCCGTCCGATCCAGACCCGCTGCACCTGAAATGAGAAGTGGGATCACAGCCCCGCTCCTCGCTGCCCTCACCTCTCCGAGGCGGCTTACGGTCTGTTCCCGTGTTTCCCTGCAGTGTGACTGGAACCTGGAGATTCCCAGCAGCTCAAACCGCCCTCCTCTGTGCGGGGCTTTCTGCTTGGAATTCACTGTCTGATGTCCTCAGGCCAGGCCTGCACCTGCGCCCACCCCACCCGGCCGCGTCCTGTTTGCATTTGACCGAAGTCCCTGTCGGGGTTATTTTCATCCGTTGAGGTGTTTTTGAAGCTATTTTTACTTCTCCTTTCTGCTCATCACGCTGTATTTCACACGGTTGTGATGAGTGGTTATTTTGCTTTTCCACTTCAGGTTATGTTATGGGCACAGTTCCGCCAGGCTGGCACCCTCTGGGGCACTCCGGCGTGTGAGCCTGTCAGGGCCACCTGTGAGCCACTTGGGGGGGGGGGGGCGGTGGTTACGGCATTTTGTGGTTACAAATCACGCTGTCACAAACGTCTTTGGGCAAGTCCCTCTTTTGGTTTGCAGCCCAACTGGCTGAAGGAAGGGCAGTTGCTCTGTTCTCCTTGCTCGCTGCCTGTGCCCTCCAGATGGTTCTCAGGGGCGGTTACGTACACTGTTCCCCACTGCCCTGCAAACGCAGCCATTTTTATTCATGCTCATGGACTGAGTGCGGAGTGGTTCCTTGAAGCTATTGTAACTTCCGCCCTATTAGCTCACTCTTGGGGGTTCCCACAGTACAAGCCTTGAATCTGGTCATTAACGTGTTACATAATTCTTTGCTCATGTTACAGAGTATGTTCTGCCTTCCCACATTTCTGAGGCCTTCTAAGGCCAGAGCTTTGTTACTTCATCGTCAGGTTGGGACTTAGATGGCCGTTCATGGTTCCTCTCCTGCTGCAATCAGTAAGTGCCTCTCCTTTGTGGTGTGTTTGGGTTCAAGCTGGAGGGAGGCTGTGAGGCAGATGGGCCAGGAGGAGGGTCGGGTGGAGGGAGCCGGGTGAGAGGTTTGGGGGCTGGGCCTTCAGGACTGGCTCTGAGCCCATCTGGTCGTCCACAAACCGTGTGTGTGTGTATGTCTGTGCATGGCTATGTGTACGACTCATGTATGTGTATGACTGTGTATGTCTGTGCATGACTTTGTAAATGACTTGTGTGTGACTGTGTATGACTGACAGTATGTCTGTGCATGACTTTATATATGACTCGTGTGTGTGTGACTGTATTACTGTAACAGTGTGTGTATGAGTGTGAGTGACTATAGGACTCGTGTGTGTGTGTGTGTGTGTGTGTGTGTGAGAGAGAAGTGGGGCTGGCTCAGCTCGCATTCAATCCTCGGAATGAGTAGAAAGGACCCAGTTCTCCACTGTGCGTGACCCTGAGCAGGATTCATCCCTCTGTGAGCCTCAGCTTCTCACCTGGCCTCGCTGGGGAGGGACTTCTGAACTCCTCAGGGCTGACATGAGGGGCCAGGAACCCTCCCGGTGAGAGGCGGGGCAGGACTCCTGGACTAGAACTGCAGAGCTAGTGGGAGCTGCTCCCACCAGACCCGCCGGGGGCCCGGGGGTGCAGAGCCTGGGCTGGGAGCAGTGGGTGCTGTGGGCAGGGGGCTTGGAGGGTGGCCTGGGGCAGATACTGGCTAAGGGTCCAGATTGGGCTTCGTGGATCTTGGGCCCTGGCGACTTGGACCCGTCCTCCCCGGAACTCAGACTCCGGTGAGTCCAAGGAGAGGAGAGAGGCCGGTGGGGGCACTGAGCTTCCAACTTCATGTTCAAGTAACGGCAGTTCCTGGGAAGGATCCACAGCGGCGCTGGAGAGCGGTAGGAGGCCTGCCAGCCCGGCAGGTGGGCGTTTGTGCAACCCACGTGGCTGGGGCACAGCAGACCTGGGTCACAGCTGGCATTTGAGCTAGGCCGGAGTGCTCAACCTGCCCCCTAGTCCTTAGGTTTCCTGTTCTGATGAAAAAGCTTAAGATTTTTACCTTTAAATATAAAAATAATCTGCATAGAGTTGAACATCCAAGCCCTGGAAAAGATACAAAATGGTAGTAAAATCCCCTTCCCTCACCCATCCCTCCAGTTCCTTTGAACCTTTCTGGACATTTCTATGCACATACACAGCTGTCACTGCTAGAACAGGCAGGACCATATGCAGTTCGTTTGCCGTCTGACCTCATGGCTCCTGCAGCGGAAGGAGCACCAGCACAGCAGGCAGCGTGGGCCTGAGGGGACGTGTGTCCCCCGGCCGCACCTGGCAGGGCTGTCGGGGCAGAAGGAGTGAGCCTGGGAGGGGGAGGCGCGGAGCCGCCGCAGGTGTTTCTTTTACTGGACGCGGCTCATGGCCGCGTTCAGGTTTTGCTTTTCACCTTTGAATCTGTGAGAAAATGAGCAGGAAAAAGCAAAAGGCACTGGTGGTGGCACACCCAGCACTGCTGGGTCAGGGTTCGAGTCCCTGTGGTGTCCTTGCTTCCTTCCAGCTCCCCCTCCAGGCCCTTCCTCCCCACCCCATCTGGGGCATCATTCTCCCCAAGGACAGATGTCGGGGTGGGGTGCCTCTCTCCCAGGAGCCCTCCTGCTCCACTCTCCCTCACCTCACGCAGGTCCCCCCGCCAAAGGGGTGAAGGAGATGGAACAGGCCTCACCCCTCGAGGCCAGGGAGGACAGTTCCGCCTTCTGGGCTCCCACTCCCACACTCGTTGGCCAGATGTCTCCCCTCTTTTCACCTGGAGTTGGTATGGGTGGTCCTTGTGGACAAGGTGGAAGATGTTGTACATCTGAAAGTACACCACAAAGTAGGGTCGGTAGGAAAGCATTGGATTCAGTTTGCCGGGAGTGCAGACTAGTGGGGTACAAGGCTGGAAAAAGGGTTGGGCTCTGAGGTGTCTGCTTTTCCCACATGTGAGTCTCAAGTGAGGAGATGCACTTGAAAAATTCAGAAAAAAATGTTTGGATCTCAAACTCAAGATGATATTTATTTTATTTATTAACAATAATTTAGCCTGGCTGGCATGGCTCAGTGGTTAAGTATCGACCTATGAACCAGGAGGTCACAGTTCAATTCCCAGACAGGGCATATATGGGGTTGTGGGCTTGGTTGGGGGTCCAATCCCCAGTGGGGGACATGTAGGAGGCAGCCAATCAATGATTCTCTCATCACTGATACTTCTATCTCTCCCTCTCTGAAATAAAAATATATTTTAAAAAATAATTTATGTTTTACTCTGTGCTTGACACTTCTAAATGCTTTATAAATACAGGGATGGGCAAACGTAGGTTCACCGTTCTATTATGACATTCTTTTGAGTTAATAAAGCTATTGTAATAATTATAACTGGCATGTCTTTTTCCATATAACTGTAAAACTACTTTTTCCCACTCTGTATATTATTTAATTCTCACATGAGTAGGTTATTTCCATTCTCAAATAAGAAAAGTGAGGTAAGGGACTATAAACTACGGAGCTGGAATTTGAACTCAGTCTGACTCCAAAGCCTGAACAATATACCAGGCCGAGATCTAGAGTTTTCCATACTTAAAAGTCTACCTTTCTGGGACAGGCTTTTCCCAGTTTTGATTTTATAGACACACCCAACGCTATGTTCAGTGAGAGTCATACATATATCTTGCAATCTCACAAGCTAGTAATTCTTTTTACACAACTTCACAGAAGAGAAGAATTAGGCGAGGACCGGGTAAATTCTGAGTTAGCATTCAGACCTAGAGTCCCCCAACAACCTGTGACTTAACTCCTCTGCCTTAAGAACCCACTCGGAGTATTTCTCTTTCCAACACAGCACCCCAGTGCTGGAGCAGGCCGCAGGATGACAAAGCAAGAGGGGCTGCCAGGCGGCTCCTTGTAGCTGGGCCACGTGGTACCTCCCCAGCCGCCGCCTCTGCTCCTGGCCGCACCTCCAGCCCCGTGAGCCCCTTGCACACTCTTCGCGAACTCTCTCGCTTTCACCCTTTCTGTGTCAAGGAAAACACGAGGTTCCAGCAGAGAACTCGTTGCTCCGAGGTCCCGACAAATAGCTGGGCTCCCACCGGTGCTAGCTAAGCGGCTCCCATCACCTGCCGCCTCCCACCGTCCGCAGGGCCCGCTTTGCAGAGCCTGGGCGCGCCCTGGACGGGCGGCGCATGCGCAGCGCGGGGTGGCGCGGCGGGCTGGGCGGGCCCTGGACGGGCGGCGCATGCGCAGCGCGGGTTGGCGCGGAGGGCTGGGCGTGGCCTGGGAGGCCGGCGGGAGGCGGTGACGCAGGCGCCCCTAGTGGCGGGTGTGTTCACGCCCTCACTGTCGCCTCCGGATTCCGTTTCCACGGTTACGGCGGCGCGAGGCGGTGCCACAGGTAAATCGTGTTTCAGTTGAAAAATGAAACCTGAGGGATCGAGGCTGCAGGACGCGGGGGACCGGGAGAGAGGGAAGCGGGCCTGACCCGGACGCGGGAGGAAGGCCGGCCCCGCGCGTGCCCTCCTGCGGCTCTAGTCCGTTCCGCCCACCATTCCCGTAGGATGTTGCCCGTCCACTAGCGCCCTTCAGCCCACGAACTGGCCTGGACCCCCACATCCTCCCTTGCCTCCGCCAGCTGCCGACCTCGCTCTTCCCTGCCCCAAGTGGCGACCTCACTCACACGCCTGAAGTGACTGGCCTGGAGGCCGCTGCCCAGATCGAGGTCAAGATGATCCTATGATCCTGAGCGTCCCTAACGCACCGCCCCGTGGCTCCCCACAGAGCACTTGACTCCCCGTTTCCTCCCCAGGCCCCTGTAGCCTCCCTGGAGGGCCTCGCACCGGAGCCAAGGTCGTGCTTCCGGCGGGTTCTCCCCTAAGGATGCAGCCACCTTGGGCCAGTGTGGGGTCGAGGCCTGACGACCCGGAAGTAGTTGGCTGCATGCTAGGAGGTGAGTGGGGCTACAGAGGCCCCAAACTGGTGCGATTCATGACCTGTAGACTTATTTATTTGCCTTTCACAGTGTCTAACATTTTCTAATTTAACTTACATATCTGAAGGTCGGCTGATTTTATGTTAAAATTCAATGTGTGGTTTTGCTTCCAAAATTGGGGAGAGTCGAGCCGGTGTGGTTCAGTGATTGAACTTCGACCTAGGAACCAAGAGGTTCCGGTTTGATTTCCAGTCAGAGCACATGCCCGGGTTAGGGCTTGATCCCTAATAGGGGGCGTTTCTCTCATTGATCTTTCTCTTTCTTTCCCTCTCCCTTCCTCACTAAAAAATCAATTTAAAAAACATTTTTTTAATTGAGGCGATCTGGGGACAAGGGGCCTGTGTTCCCACGTACCAACAATCTGCCATAGCTGAGAAGTGGCTGCTCTCTATGGAAGGCTCTACAATTTGCTATGGTCCTCAAAGCCAGTGTCAGTTACCATTTATCATCAGGCTTGAGCTATTATTTCTTATCTATACTAATAAAAGGGTAATATGCTAATTAGACCGGGAGACCTTCAGGACATCCTTCCGGACAAAGCCATGGTGGTGGGGCTGAGGCAGAGGTGGTTAGGGGTGATCAGGCCAGGAGGGGAGGGCAGTTGTGGGTGTGGGGGCGAGCAGGCTGGCATTGGGGGCCATTCGGGGGCGAGCAGACCAGCAGGAAGAGTGGTTAGAGGCGATCAGGCAGGCAGGCAGGTGAGCAGTTAGGAACCAGCAGTCCTGGATTGCGAGAGGGACGTGGGATCCGGCCTAAACCGGTAGTCGGACATCCCCCGAGGAGTCCCAGATTGGAGAGGGTGCAGGCTGGACTGGGGACATACCCCCCACCCCCCGCACGAATTTCATGCACCGGGCCACTAGTAGTAAATAAAGGTCAACTCTCTTTTTGCACCTATGTCTCTGTCAGTGATGAAAAGCTTAATGAGCCCTAGCTGGTTTGGCTCAGTGGATAGAGCGTCGACCTGCGGACTGAAGGGTCCCGGGTCCGATTCTGGCCAAGGGCATGTGCCTTGGTTGCGGACGCATGCCTAGTGGGGAGTGTGCAGGAGGCAGCTGATCAGTGTTTCTCTCTCATCAATGTTTCTAACTCCCTGTCCCTCTCCCTTCCTCTCTGTAGAAATATCAATAAAATAGATTTGTTTTAAAAAAAGCTTAATGAGCTCAAAAAAGGTCTAAATCTACTTCACCATTTATCATCGAATACAAACAAAATAAGTGATGCTGCTGTGAAATGCAGTTATGTAAAAAATGAAAAAAAAATTGCCCGAGCATAAAAAACTTTTACAGATGGTGAGTTTATAAAAGTCTGTCTGCTGAGGCAGCAGACATCATGTGTCCTGAACAGAAACAAGCATTTGCAAACATAAATCTAACTGGAAACACTGTTGCTCAGAGAGTAAAACATATGGCTGAAAACTTACAAGTTAAAAAAAAAAGCGGAGTTCTTTGTGACATTTTCTCTTGTAGTTGATGAGAACACCTAAATAAATAACACGAGCCACTTAATTATATTTATCCATGGTGTTGATGAGAATTTTGACATCACTGAAGACCTTTTGGACATGGTACCCTTACCAGACCCAACATCTGAAAATGACTTATTTTTGTATGTTGAGAAGAGTCTTGAAAAGTTTAACGTTGACTGGTCAAAATTAGTAAGTGTGACCACAGATAGTGCTCCTGCAATGGTCTGTGATAACACTGGACTTGTTGCAAACCTTAAATCCAAGGTTGAAATGTTTTGCAGGGATGCAGAACTTAAATCCATTCACTGCATTATTCACCAGAAATTGTTTTTTACTAAAAAGTTAAAACTAGAACTTGTCATGGATGTAATGATTAACACAGTGAACTGGTTACGCTCTTGGGGCTCCGACCACAGACAATTCAGTGCTTTGCTTGAGGAATTAAATGCACAATCTGGTAACCTGCTTTACCATACGAAGGTAAGGTGGCTTAGTCATGGCATGATGCTGAAGAGATTTTTTGAATTAAGAGATAGATTTATTCTTGTCAGCCAAGGGCAAATCCCTTCCCCAGCTCAGAGATTGGATCAGGGACCTGGCCTTTTTGGTTGACATTATAAATCATTTAAACTCTTTGAATATTTCTCTGCAAATACGTTCACAAGTAGTTACACAAATGTATGACTCAATTTGCTCTTTCCTAGCAAAATTGAATCTTTGGGAAACTCATTTAGCAGTAAATAACCTGGCTCACTTTCCTACACTGAAATCAGTTTCCAGAAATGAAAGTGATGGGTTAATCTACATCCCCAAAATTGTAGAGTTGAATTCCAGAAAAGGGTCTCTGATTTCAAACATTATGTAAATGAACTCACATTGTTCAGCTCACCTTTCTCAATTAACATTGCTAGTGTTAAAGAAGAATTTTAGCCCTAGCTGGTTTGGCTCAGTGGATAGAATGTCAGCCTATGAAATGCAAGGTCCCAGGTTTGACTCCGG